GCGGGACTATATCGTGTTCAACTGCCTCGTCGTACTCCAGAGAGAAGGAAAAGGGGGTGAAATAATCGCCCTAGCGCTGTGCGGAGAGGGGTTATGGCTACGGGGGTCCCTGAAAGTGCTCCCGGGGCTCGTGTAAAGCAAGAGCCGGGCTTCCCGTGGCGTAAATCAGCTCAGCTCCCTCGGCATCGGCGCTATTCCGGCTTTTCTCCGGGCTAAATGAGGACAGGAGTGAGCAGCTCAGACCCAGCGCCGGGGTCAGCCGGGGCCATGGAAACAGCTTGGAAAACAAGGCGGGAGAGGCAGCCGCGGCCGCCCGCGGCGCCGGGAGGCAGCGGGACCGCGAGCCGGCGCGGTGGGTACCCCGGCCGGGGGGGAGCCGGAGGGGAGCCGGGGGCTATCGTGAGTCCGGCTCGGCGCTCGGGTTTCCCGGTTTTCCTTTATTTTCCGTTTTCAGGGGCGTTGAGCTTGGGTTTAGGGCACCTGCGCCGTTCAGCTCCTCTCCGGCATCACCCCTGCCGGTACCTGGGGTCAGTGGCGGTGGTTTGGGACCGGGAGGGGGTTTTTTCCGTCTCTCGGGGTCCGTCGAGGCGAAGCGGTGCCCCCCAGGAGCATCAATCCCCGGGCGGACGTGTGCGTGATTTCGGCAGCTTTTCCTTCCCTGGCAAAGCCCTTTGGTGGCACCGGCCGCGCGGTTTGTTATTGTAGGGTCTCCTGCACTCAGGCATGCTCGGTACTTACCCCCCCTCCGCGGTGCCCCCCAACCCGCCGTCCCGGTGGAGGATCCCCGGGGCTGTTGCCAGAGGAGGAAAACCACAAGCTGAGTGCCGGGGCTGGCCGGGCTCCACCGGCGCGGTGCGGGGCCGGCAGCCAAGCTGCCTCCTGCCTCTTGGCCGGCCCGTGCCGCTGGCTGGCAGCGGCACCCGCTGACCTCCCAAACACCCCGCTGTGCCCTCGCCGCAGCCCCGGCGCACGGCATTGCGTGTCCCCCCTCTGCCGCCCAGATGCCACCAGGAAAGGCTCGGCATCCCCGCTGGTACAGTCCGGCCTTCCTCCGCTCTCCTCCGGCTCCCAAATTCTCCACTTTTAATAAAAATTGAGCATTTTTTGTAGCGGGACGACACCAAGCGGCGTCTTCCAAGCTGCTTTGCGTGCACCGAGTTGCTCTGTTCTCTGCAGCTGAGCCGTTTGGCTCCTGCCAAGGGATTTAATAAAACCCCAAAATATGTATACGGGGCAATTTTGGGGCTCCCGGCAGGGGGGAGCGGGTGTTTTTGGAGGACGAGGGATTTAAAAACCTGTTCCCCTGTTGGCTTTGGATGGGTTTAATTTGTTTTTCGTACAGCCCAGCGGGGAGGTTGAAAGTAATAATTTGAAATATAGAGATATAGACTGCAGGATATATAGACTGCTGGCCATATAGGATTGTTGGAGGTATAGGTCACTGGATATGTAGGGTTGCTGGATATAGTGGACTGTGTATTTAGGGTTGCTGGGTGTTTAGGGTTGCTAGAGATACGGGATTGAGGAATATATAAGTTGCTGGATACAATAAGCTGCTGGATATATAGGGTTACTGGATATGCAGGTTGCTGGATGTATAAGATCGCTGCTTATGTAGGGTTGCTGGATGTATAGATTGCTGGATGTGTAGAGTTGCTGGATATGTAGACATATAGGGTTGTTGGATGTATGGGTTGCTGGGTATATGGGATTTGGGTATTTAGGGTTGCTGAGTGTTTAGGGTTGCTGGATATATAGGTCTGCTGGATATATGAGATTGCAGAATATATATGTTGCTGGATATAACGAGTTGCTGGATATATAGGGCTACTGGATACGGAGGTTGCTGGATGTATAAGATTGCTGATTATACAGGGCTGCTGGATATGTAAGGTTGCTGGATGTGTAAGGTTGCTGATTATATAGGGCTGCTTGATAGATAGGGTTGCTGGCTATATGGGGCTGTTGAATATATAAGATTGCTGGACATACAGGTTGCTGGTTACGTAGGATCGCTGGATATACAGGGTTGTTAGATAGGTGAGATTGCTGAACATGCAGGTTGCCGGGTCTATGGGTCAGTGTATCTATAGGGCAGCAGGAGCTGTAGGGCAGTGGGATCTATAGGGCCACCGCTGGCGGGGGCTGCTGTTCCCCGCCGTAGCCGGCGGAGCTGCGGCCATCCCTCCCCGCCGGCTCGCGGGACCGGGGTCCCCCCCGTGTCCCCCCGCGGGGTGTCAAGGCGCCTTTCGGGGCCCGGCCAGCGCCCACGAGCTGTGGGGGCCAGCGTGGGGCCCTCCGCCGTCCGTCCGTCCGTCCCTACGTGCGCGCAGCGCCGGGGCTAATGGCTCCTCCAGCTGGTTTTGCAGGGGGCGGGGAGGGCCGGGGCGGCTGAGGCTTGAACAACTCGTTTCGTCTTTCCTCGCCGAACGGTCCCGCCATCGCCTCTGGCTTCGCCTCCCACCCCGCACACGTAAGTGCCGTCCGGCCAGAGCCGTACCCGAATCCGGCACCGTGCCCCCGCCGGGGCTCCCCCCCGGCACTCGCCGGGTTATAAACGGCTCCGGACTATTCCCAGGGAGCGCAGCCCAGGCTGGAAACCCTCCAAGCCGGGCTCTGCGTGTGTGGTTATTTTTTTTTTTTTTTCCTTTCCTTCCCTCTGTTTACGGCATTTAAAATGGGGGGAAAAAAAAAAAAAAAAAGAAGAGGAAAAACAGATTAAAAAAATAAATGTTTTTATCCTCAGGGGGACTTTTCCCCTTTTATAGCACCTGGAGGATGCAGAAGGGACTGTGCAGGAATCGAGCAGCCAAGCTAACCCAAACTGAAACGCTTGGTTTTCTCTTTATTTTAATTTATTTCCCTCCCCCCCTCCCCAGCTTTTATTCTTTTCCGGGGCGAATGGAAGGAGGTTTGGGCAGGCAGTGCTTTTTCCGGGGAAAACGGGCCGAGGCGTGGAGGAATAGGTGCCCACGGCAGCAATGGAGGGATTTCTGCGGATGCTGCCGGAGTGAGTTGGGATGGGGAGGGGGATTAATTTTTGGGGAGAAGCCGCAAGGTCTTTCCATCTCCCGGCCTGCAGGGCCAGGAACAAAAGGAGCTGGATGAGACAGCCAGGAAAAAAATAATTATATTTTATATATATATCTCTCTCTCTACCTATTTCCCACCCGCCCCCCCCCCATTTGGGGAAGGTTGTGGCTTTCGGATTAACCCTTTGGGAGCTGGGGGGATGCTCACTCCTGCCTTGTGTTTGCAGGGTGAACTATTTTCCTGCATTCCCAGCCTGGGTCGATAACCTGGTTTATGGGATGGAGCAGCCCAAGGTGCCACCCTGGCCCGGCGGCTGTTTTTTGGGGCTTCCCCTGCCATTACCCAGCAGGTTCCCTGCCCCCGGGTAGATCCTTGGGGCCAGCGTCTGCTCCCCACCCAAGGCAAAACAGGTTTGTCATCGTTTCTCCAGGCTGGTGTCACCACCGCAATGGTGGGGACCCTTCAGGGCATGAGTGTGTCCCCCCAAGGTCTCAGGGGGGGGCTCAGGGCATTTTTCTGCCTGCCACCATGTGCTGCTTGGGAAAAACCCTTTTGGCTGGGGAGGAGGAGGAAGATGACGGCGTAGGAAGGACGGGCGAGGCTGTTTCTTCCTCGGTTTGCAAAGGAGAGCGGAGGCGGCGTGTTGTCCCCACCCTGCCCAAGCTGCTGTTTCGCCGGCACACGGCACAAACCGGCAGCGAAGCCCTCGCTCCCCAGACCTGATGGACCGGTCCCATCGCTGGCAGCTCCATTGCTTGGCTCCGGGGATGCTGCGAAGGGACCGAAGCCGGAGCCCCTATAAAGCTGCGGCAGCATCGGGGTGAGCCCTGTGCCGGAGTGGGGCCACGGTGATTTGTACCGGTGCTGTGTTCCCTTGGGAGTTTCCCCCCAACCCGGGGAGGGGGGGGATTTTGGGGATATAATCGTGCTGGGAGTGGTTCCTCCTTGGTTTTGCCAGGGTTTCGCCACAGTCAGCAGTGTGCTTATCTCCGGTGTAGAAACCACCCGCGCTCAAGCGTGCACCTTTGCTCACCCTCTCACCCTGAAGGACGCCCGTGCCGAAGCCATGGGGTCGGTGGCTGAAGGGTTAAACGCGGCTCCACCGCCAACAGCCGCGCGCGGTCACACAAGCCGTAACTTGGGGTCTCCTGGCTAGTCTGGGCTGCGGATCCTTCCCACCAGCCGGTACCGGCACCGTCCAGAGGCAGGAAGCTCTGACCACAGCCTTTGCTTGCTTTGTCATATTTTTTTCCAGTGAACTTTGCTGTATTTTTAGCTTGCAGGAAGCTCCCCCCGGTTGTCAGCAAACTGCTAACTACCCTGCCAGCGCCCGGCACCCCCGGCTGCTGGAGCACTAAAATCCCCGCCGCCGAGGGGGGAGAGAGCCGCAGAGCGCAGAAGGACCCCCCTATCCCTGGCAAAATCCCTTGGAGGGTCTTAACTGGGGCGCGCAAGCCCAGACGCCGGGGTGACGGTCTCCCTGGGTGCCGCCACCTCACGTCGGCATGGACGTCTCTAATGGTTTTTGGTCTCTTCTTGGCACACGGCCGGTTTTCTGGACGCTGGTGCTGTAGCTCGGCGTTGCCGGGGGGCCCTGGCCAGCCGTGTTGATACAGACGCCGGGTTATTCGAGGTGAAAGCATCCCCGCGCCGCCCCTGGCACCGGCGTAGCCAACTCGGCGGCTTCCTGCCGTGCCGCGGCCCCCGGCGAAGGACGGCTGCTCCCGGCCAGGATGTTTGCTTTGGGCATGGGTCCAAAAAAACCCCCCTTTTCTCCCCGTGCCGCTTCCTTCGCCGGTGCAAACCGTGTCGCTAGAGCCAGGGACGCCCTCCCCGTCCCACCTCGGCGGGTCTCGCCCTCAGCGGGTGATGGAAATCCCGAACCGTCCTGTGAGCAATTTCGAAAGCGGGTGGCGGGGTGGGGACGTGGGCGGCGCGGGGCCAGCGCAGTGGAAACCGGCCGCCTTATGAGCCGAGCTGCTCCTTACGCAGCCGGGCAAAAGCCGCCTGGTTTTGCCGGCGGCGATTATTTTTTCGCGCGGCTCATCCGCGTCTTCATCAGCCGGGTCAGAAAAAGAGATGGGGAAAGGGGGAATAAAAGAAAAAAAGAGGGAGAAGATAGGGCGTGGGATGATGGCACGTGGGTCGTGGCAGGGGATGCTCACGTCTCTCCTCTCTCCCTCCTCGCAGACAGGTTCGGCGGGCGACCCGGTTGATGGACCCAGCAGAAGCCAAATGGAAGAAGGGCCAATTAATTATGTCGAAGAAAGGCGGCTGAATGAGGGCAGTGGGCTCAGCCTGGCAAATGGGGGCCGGCCGGAGGCGGGGGGCACTGCGCTGATGGAGCCGAGCGGCTGGTCGCCGGGCCAGCCGCCTGCCGCCGGTAAAGCCCACCTGGAAGACGTCAGGAACCTGGTGGCCTTCTCAGCGGTGGCCGAAGCTGTTTCTTCCTACCGGCTGCCACCCCCGGGTTCACCGTCGCTGCTGTACGAGAAGTTCGATTCGGAGATGAGCCGGGGTGGGCTGAGTGCGGCAGACGGCGTGCCACGAGGGGAGGACCTGCATGCCCTCAAGGCTGCCCTGGCTTTGGCCAAGCACGGCGTGAAGCCCCCCAACTGCAACTGCGATGGTCCTGAGTGCCCTGACTACCTGGAATGGCTGGAGCAGAAGATCAAGACGGCTCTCGGCGAAGAGCCGGCATCACCGCGGCCCTGCGCCACCGCCAACCCCCCGCCGCCCCCCCAGGAAGGTGCTATCGACCCCCAGCCGGTGCCTGAGACCGCCGAGCCGTGCCCGCCCGACGGCCTCCCCTTTTCCCAAAGCGCGCTGACCATCGCCAAGGAGAAGAATATCAGCCTGCAGACCGCCATAGCCATCGAAGCCCTGACGCAGCTCTCAGCTGCTCTCCCCCAGCCCGCCGGTGACGGCCAGCCCCC